CTTATATGCACATAGTAGGTCATTTGGTCCTTTTCTCCCGTGATCTGTCTCCTGTTGACTTGATGGCTAGACCAGCGGGAGGACCTGGATGAAGAGGGAAAGGTCCTCCTCCCCCACAGCCAGCCCCACGTGGACCAGGGGCCCCTGCGAGCGCCTCGGGGGCCCCCTTTACGTTAAGTCTGACAACGAGCACACACCCTGGCACTGCTGGCAGGGGAGCCTGTCGGGACCAGCTCCGTCTCTGGGCAGAAAAGCGTTAATGCTCCCCCAGCGCAGGCTAGGCCGTCACAGGAGGCCTGTGAGCCCGTCTCGAACCCCTTACCACCGAGGAGCAGGCCTGGGGCTGGGGGTCAGCTTTCCCAAGCACGTGCTGAGCAGGCAGTGGGCCGGCCCCACGGCCACATGGGTCCTGGGGCCTGGCTCCTACCTGGGCGTGTCTCCGTGGCCCGCGCTCCTACCTGGGCTGCTCCTCCGGCTTCCTCTTTGTGCTCCGACTGCTCCCGGGGGACTGTAGGGACCCCGGACTCGGCGCTGACGAGGTCCTCTGAGCCGGGAAGAGAAATCAGAGAGGAAATCAAACAGGAATCTCTGAAAACACAAACACGTTTCTCCATGGGCCCCTGACCACAGTCCTCAAGGGCTGGACCGTTTACCTGGCCGTCCCACTGAGCACCCTGCCGTGGGGCAAAGCCGCACTTTGAGGACAAGGGGTAGCAGAGCCCGGCGGCCCCTGCCTTCATCTCACGGAGAAGAGACAGCGGTTCGGGGGGAGGAGGATCTCTGCGTGAGTGAGGAACCAGGCGAGCACCTCCCCATGTGGGGGTCCTCCGCTCCCTGGAGACAGTGGGCACAGGTCACCTAAGACCTGAAAGGATCCCGTGTGTTCGAGTCACGCATTTTCCTCCCCCTCCCCCAACCGTGGTTTTGCTCAGCAGAATTCCGCTGGGAAACTAGGGAGAAGTTAGGGACGGAGCCCTGGCCAACTGGGCTCAGTGGATAGAGCGTTGGCCCCTGGACTGAAGGGTCGTGGGTTTGACCCCCGTAAAGGGCATGTACCAATGAACCAGTGTTTCTCTCTCTCTCTCTCTCTCTGTCTCTCTCTCTCTCCCTCTCTCTCTCTCCCCTCCACTCCCCTCCTTCCCTTCCTCTCTGCCTAAAAATCAATGGAAAAAATATCCCCGGGTGAGAATTAGCAATATCAAAGTGTCCCTCATGGCTGCACGGATGAAAATGTTCCCTATTGTCACCCAAGAACCACAGCACAGAGGGAGCGACACTTTCCCATGAGGGTCCCGGGTTTTTAGAACCAGAACCGCCCCTGCTTGGCTGAGGGCACCGGGGCCTGAGCGGCAAACGCCTCCCCAGCCAGGCCTCCGCCCCTCCTGCAGCCCCTGCCATGGGTGATGCCTCAGCATGTGTCAGACGCACTCCTGCCCGCCAGCCCACGGTCAAGGCCACGTTAAGGTCGTTCTGAAGAGACACCGCGTGCCTCACAGGCAGAGGCGGCAACAGGTGGGGCGGGGACAGATCTTCGCTCCGACTCGGGGGCCATGGGGCCACGGGGGCCACGGGCCGACCTTCCTCCGGCACAGGAAACAGGCCCTGGGCTCAGCTTCCTCCTGAAGAAGCAACGAGGGAGGCCTCTCTCCCTTCCAGCCCCGCCTCCCCCAGCAGGACGCCAGGGCAGCCGCCCCACCCTGCCCCCCAACCCGCAGACACTGGGTGAGGAGAGAGCAGCAGCGGCCCAGGGGAAGGCCTCGCACTTCTCAAGTTCGGGGCCAAGGCGCCGTGGGCGGAGCAGGCGGGAAAGGGACGTCACGGGGAGAAGCCAGGCTGCGGGGGAGCTGAGCCAGGTCTCCTCCACAGTCATAACAACACCCCCTTGTTAACCAACGTCACCCCAATAAATGCAATGATAAGAACACCCAGCGCCTACGCGACACTTCGCCTGCAGGAGCCATCACAGCCCACGGGTAACAACAAACAGTCCGTGTGCGAGTCCCGCTCATTCAGGCCTCACAACAGCCGTTTCACGGCCGATCCCTGAGCACAGACAGGAAGCCACCGGCCCCAGGCCACACGGCGGGGGAGAGGGGGAGCAGAACGTGGACCAGAGGGTTTGGGTCCGGAGCCTGTGCTGCTGACCCCGACCTCACACTGCGTCAGCCGACGGTGGACACGGCTGTGCGTGCTCACTGCTCCCTCCCTGCCTCGCTCCCAGTGGCTGAGACAACTGGACGTGACCGCAGAACGCAGCCCAGGGTCACCCCCGGAATAGCCTGGCGGAGAGGCGCCCAGAAAGGCCGTGGAGTGTGAAACGCGATCACCCCCTCTGCCTGGGGCATCTGCGAATCGGCAAAGCGCACCCCGCCCTCGGAGCCCTCGCTTCTGCCAGGTCCGCCAGCGTCCCGGCCTCCTCCTGCCCTGGCTGAGTAAACACAGCCTCTCCCTGGCTCAGGGCCTGTGTCTGTGTTAACAGGCATGCGGCGTGCCAGCCTGGGAAGGACTCTCTCCCAGGAGCCCAGGTGTTTCGCCATCAAAAAAAATTCCCACCTAACCGGTGTGGCCCAGTGGGTAGAGCACTGGCCCAAGGGCTGAAGGGTCCCGGGTTCGAATCCGGTCAGGGGCACATGCCTGGGTTGTGAGCTTGATCCCCATTAGGGGGTGTGCAGGGGGCAGCTGATCCATGATTCTCTCTCCCTCTCTCTTCCTCTCTGAAATCAATAAAAATCTATATTTTTAAATCCTGTGACATTACCTCTTGGACGTGGGCCGTCTCTCTAGACTGTGGCTCCCTGGTTGTGTCAACCAAGGGCTCCTGATGCAGTTAGACCGGACCAGCATCTCGCCGACGCGCCCCCTCTCTGCCTGAGCTTCGGGGAGCAGCGCGGCTGCCGGTGAGGCCGGGACGGGAACAGAGGTCACCCAGGACATGGGCTCCACTTCAGAGCCACTGCCGGCCCCCGAACGTGCAGCAGGGCCCGTGTGTCTCACGAAGGCTGCGTCCCGTCCAGGCCTGTGAGGCCGTCCCAAACGTCTCCCCCTCCGAGGCAGAAAGCCAAGATCGGAGCAGCTCGCCACAGCGGCCTCCAGGGTCCCCACAGGCGCCCGGCCAGGCCTCGAAGGAGGAGGCCCCAAGGGTGGGACTCAGGCCTCCCCCACGGGATGTGGTAAAAAAATGAACAAGCTTTAGGTCAGAGCGCTGGGTTCGAATTCCCCGTTCCCAGGGGTGGGCGGGCACCTTCCCTGCCAAGGGCCATGTGGATCTGACCGAGTCCTTCGAGGCCGCACAAAACGACCAGCTGAACCAGCGCCTGCCCTGTTTGGTCAAACAATCACTTCACCCGATGCCTTGGCAGGGCCAGACCCAGCGATGTCCTCGGCCTCGTACGGCTCAAGGGCCGGACGTTCCCCACCCCTGGATCGATGCACCACAGCTTGTTTATCCATCGTCTGTGTTTCTAAAAATATTTGTTTATTGACTTCAGAGAGGAAGGGAGAGGGAGAGAGAGAAACATCCATGATGAGAGAGAATCATGGACCGGCTGCCTCCTGCACGCCCCTCTCTGGGGATCGAGCCCGCATCCCAGGCCTGTGCCCTTGACGGGGAATCGAACTCTGACCTCCTGGTTCATGGGTCGATGCTCAGCCCCTGAGCCACGCTGGCCGGGCTGGCTGTTCTGAATTAACATCGTCTTGGATTCCCAGCCGCTGCAATTGGCCCAAAAGCAAATAAACAAACAAATGAAACGGACACGGATCTGAAGAGCGGAAACGCCGCTCTCCCCGCAAATGCCGTCCCCGTCTGCAGAGAACGTGCCAGGGATCGGCCACAACCTCACGGCACTGACCGGCCAGTTCACAAAATCACAGGACACGGCCATCCGCTTGCAAAGTCAGCGCCTGACAACGCGTGGGCGGAACCCACACGGACACATGACGCCCGCTCCACCACCGCAGAGAGGACGAAAGGCTGGGCACAACCTCGGATGCACACAGACTGTGTCCCCTCACCCTGATGAGCCGGGAGACAAGTCCAAGGAGACCCACATAACGAGAGACACACTGCGTGCGCTGGACCGAAGACTGGACGGAGGCAAGACGTCCGTTCTCCCCACATCCATCTATAGGTTTAACGTCCTTCCTCGCCCGATCCCAGCAAAGGATTTTGTAGGCACAGAAAAGCTTATCCTACAATTCACATCAACAGCCGTTGGCCCTGCAATAGCCAAAGCAACCTCGAAAAATCGCCAAGCGGAAGGAATCGCTCTACCCAGCCTCAGCCATCGAGAGCGCAGGGGACAGCGGGAGCGAGACACGCAGGTCAGCGACGCGGAAGAGGACCCGAGGCAGCCCCACACAGCACGGCCAGCTCCTGGTCTCCGGGGCAGGGAGACCTGTTCCCACACGCGGGACGGACGGGTGAGCGGGGACGGGCCAGACGCACACACACACAACCGCGAACCTCAACCTGAATCTCAGGCCTTCCACACAAAATGCACCCAAATGGGTCATGGATTTAACTGTAAAACTACAGAGTTTTTAGAGAGGAAATTGTCAGGACGTCAGGGCTGCACAAAGAGTTCTTGGGTTTGGAGCCGAAAGCCCTGCCCGTGACGGGAAAGCTGACAAACACGCCTCCTAGAAGCTGCCGCTGCGAAGACCGTGCTCAGAGGACGGACGCCGAGCGGGAGCGGGAGGAGGGACTCGCAACCACGTCCGGCGAAGGGTGGTCTCCAGGCCGTGGAGAGAACTCTCGAGACGCAACAGTGAAAAAAACGCGGTTAGAAAACAGACACGTGAGCATGTGTTTCGCCGAGAGAATCCGCAGACGGCAGTGAGCCCATTACGACACCCGACATCCGCTTACAGGGAGCACACAGCAGAGCCGCCCCGGGAGACGCCCCACGCACGGCTGGGCCTTGCCCAGCGGTGGCAGCGCCAGGGGAGGCAGACCCCGAGCGGCCCACCCCGCCACCTCTACTGGCCCATCCCACCACCCCGACGGGCCCACCCCGCGGTGGGAGAGGGGCAGGGAGATGTGACGGGGTGAGCGGTTCTAGAAACAGTTAGGCGGTTCCTCTCACTGCACATGTGACGACCATCCGACCCGGCAGGGCCCCTCGGGCATTCGTCTCGCGAAGTGAAAACATGTGCGCACAGAAGCCGTGCTCGCGGCAGCTGCACATATAACAGCCCCAACCTGGGAGCAGCCAGATGCCCCTCGATGAGCGACGAGCGAGCGGCCGTTCCCGCGTCCCAGGGACGGTGCTCGGCAGTGAAAGGAGCCAACACTGCCCTGGCCGGTGTGGCCCAGTGGATAGAGCACCCGCCTGCAGGCAGAAGGGTCCCAGGTTCGCTTCCCGTCCAGGCGCGTCCCTCGGGTGCAGGCTCGATCCCGGTCAGGGCCCATGGGGAGGCCACCCAGCATGTGTTTCCCTCACATCGGTGTTTCTGTCTCTAACCCTCCCTTCCTCTCTCTCTAAAATCAATGGGAAACATCCTCAGGGGAGGACGAACCAAAAAAACAAAAAGGGAACGATGTCTGACGCACGCAGCCGCCTGGGCGGGTGGGAGGGAATTCCGCGAGTGGACACAGCCCGCTCCCCGAGGTCCCGTCTGCGTGACTCGGGCCGACTGTACGACAGGCTCAGATGTCGAAATGAGAGAGAACAAATGCAGGGCGGCCGGGGGTGGAAGTGGGGGACCAGAGGAGGTGGGGGTGGCTCTGAGGGTAAGAAGAGGGACCCTCCTGGTGATGGGGCTGCTCCATAATTTTTTAAAATACATTTATATTGATTTCTGAGAGGAAGGGAGAGAAAGAGACAGAAACATCAACGAGGAGAGAGAATCATGGGCCTGCATGCCCCCCACTGGGGACCAAGCCTGCAACCTGGGTATGAGCCCTGACCGGGAATCGAACCCGGGACCCTTCAGTCCGCAGGCTGACGCTCTATCCACTAAGACAAACATGCCAGGACAGGATGTGCCATAGCTTGGCATTATCTCTGTCAGCACCAGCTGTGGTACTTGAGTTTTACAAGATGTTATCCATTGATGTTACCAGGTAAAGGGCAAAAAAAAAAAAATCGTAGGTAAAGGGTCCATGAGATTTCTCTGTATCATTTCTTATAGCAGCGTGTGCATCTTCCATTATCTCAAAATAAAAGTTTAATTATAAACAATTAAGATTTCATGGAAAAGAAATGTGGGCTCCTGACCTCCCTTGGAGAAGGGGGGGATCCTGTCAGCGGGGCTCCCGTGCCCACAGGCATCCGTCAGCTGAGGGGAGGGGCTGCCCCCCCCCAGACAGCAGGACAGGAACCCTCCTGCCTCCACAGTCCCTCCCGCTCCCCCGTCTCACGCCCCACGTGTAACGGAGTACTGTTTCCGGCCGCCCCGGCCGCCTGGTGTGGCCCCTTGTCTTTGAATGATTCTCGTTTTCCTGCTTCAGAAAAGGCAGCGGCCCGGAGGCAAAGGCTGCGGGAAACACAGTGAGATGAGCGGCCTTTGCACCCGTTTTCTCATTCAAAGGCCTCAGCACCGTTCGCCCAAGTTCCCGCTGTGAGAGACGAATGGGAAGTGTCTCCGTGCCTTCGTTCACCAGGGCGGGGACTTCAGGTTCCAGACGTAAAACGGGGAACTGAGGCTGGTGCAACTGAACGTCCCAGCCGCACGCACAGCCCAGCAGCTAGAGCCGTGCCTCAGTGGCGAGAACCCTCCCAGCCCGGAGGACGGTTCCAGGTCCGTGTGCTCAACGTTGATAGACGATAAAACCACTTTTAGGGCCAAACTCCATTTGGGGGAGGCGTGCGCGAGAGGCCCGCGTTTCACTGCCTCTGCCCGCCCAGGCCGGCCGATGGGAGGCGCGGGGAGGGCACGAGCCAGGAAGAAGGGGCCCAACTCTCACTCTATTAAGTTTAAAGCACCGACTGGAAAGAACAACCAGTGCTGACGGCACCAGGGCTCGCCGTCAGCCGGGAACCCTGAGGACGAAATGGAGGCGCCCCACTGGCCCCCGGAGCCCCACGCGCCGGCTCGCTCCTCCTGGGCCGCGGCAGGAGGGGGGACAGCGGGGCTCGAGGGGCCGTCGGGAGGAGCCCTGCCACCCACCTGGCTCTCCGGGGCGCTCTGCTCGTTGCCCATGGCCAGTCCCGGTGCCCAGCGTCCCGCGGGGTTTAGCAGAGGCGCCTGGAAGACAAGAGGACATTCACATCTGAACCCCAACTAGGCTGGAGCCGGTCTCCCCGCCGCAAGCCGGACGGGGGACGGGTTTGTCCCGCAGCCCCGTCACAGACACGGCTCTCGGAGGGTTTCCTCTGCGTTTGCCACCCAGACCTGTTCCCAGGACCCGCGGGCGTCTGGACTCTCCCTTCCCCGCCACCACCGGGGTTGGCAGACGCCTCAGGGAAAGGGTTTGCTGCTGCGTCGCTGAGTTCATGCCAATGCGCACACACACACGTCTACTACATACACACACACGTCTACTACATACACACACGTCTACTACACACACGTCCATCTACACACACACACGTCCATCTACACACACGTCTACTACATACACACACGTCTACTACATACACACACGTCTACTACATACACACACGTCCATCTACACACACGTCCATCTACACACATGTTTACTACATACACACATGTCTACTACACACACGTCTACTACATACACACACGTCTGCTACACACACACACGTCCATCTACACACACGTCCATCTACACACACATACACGTGGCATGACAGAGCATGTGGGGAGCGTGGCTGCGGGACATGCTCTAACCGTGGGCCGTGCGGAATCAGAGTGCAGGGCTCAGATCCAACATCAGGAGGCGCAAACCCCACTTCTCTTCAGCAGCCGTGGCCTTTACGGCTTTTCCTCTAACCACGAGTCCCCGTGTCTAGGGGGCCAGGCGGACGGGAAGGAGCCGGCCCAGGGCGAGCAGCAGGACAGGGGACCCCCCGAGGTGACGCTGGGCGTCGGCCGTCTTGTGGGGAGGGCGCTGCAGCAGCCTCAGAGAACCGGGCACGGAGAGCCTCACGCACCAGACTCTCTGCCGGGGAGGCCAGGGTCTGTCCAGGGCGAGCGCTGGAGGCCAGGTAGCCCAGGGCCTGGTTCTGGGGAGGCCGATGCTGGGCGGAGCTCAGTCTCCTTCCTTCTCGCCCCAGGTATCCTGCTGGCCAGGCGCCGGGCTCCCTGCCGTCCTCACACACACCTGTCCCCGCCCGCTTCCCCCGACGCTGCCCGAGCAGCGACCACAGCTCTGGCTCCTGTGCGGCAGCCACCAAGCATACAACTGCGTGTGGACAGCGGCTACAGCGTTCGGACAGGTTCCAGCCTGAGACTAATGAGAGGACACGGTCCTCTCGTGGCAAAGCCACGTGCAAGTCCCAGCACAGTTACAGCCGAAGGCTATGGCTGTGAGCTTGACCTTATGGTCCGCACCTGTGGCCCACGTGGCTGAGTGATGTGGGCTGCGGGAGGGGCAGCAAGTAAACAGAGCTGGACCAGGTGCCTGTAACTGAGTGGATTCGAAACCGCAAGAACGTGTGACCACGCCCTTACTTTGCCGCGTGGAATCTGCTATAAAATAAAGACTCGGCTCGCAGGTCGTGGCGCGCTCTCCATCAGAGAGCAGTATCCCACCCAGCCCCAGCTTTCTCCTCTCGTCCGTCTTCTCCATCCTTCACCGCCCCCCTCAGGCTCATTGAATCTGGCTGTGCCCGGCCCACCACGCACCTTGAATGAGCCCAATTTAAATGCCCCAAACTGCCCGGCGGGCGTGGCTCAGTCACTGAGCATCAGCCCATGAACCGGGAGGTCATGGTTCCATTCCTGGGTTGTGGGCTCAGTCCCCAGTGGGGGGCGTGCAGGAGGCAGCCGATCCATGATTCTCTCTCATCATGGATGTTTCTATCTCTCCCTCTCCCTTCCTCTCTGACATCAATAAAAACAAACAAATAAAATGCCCCCAAACTGAGAAAATTGTGACGTCAATTCTCACTCCCAACCCTTGAATCAAAAGACAATCCCTTTAGTCCCTTCTCGCCATTTGCTGTGTATAAGATGGACCCCCCTACACCCCGCACCCCCCCGCAGCCCCTTCCCCGCCGCCAATCACAGGCTGACCTACAGCGTGGAAACGAGTCACTGATTAAAACCCATCCCTTCAGGTTACTTTCCCACGTTCACGGGAGAAGCAGGCTCCTTAGGAAGAACGGGGGACAATCCCTGTGCCCCCGGCCATCAGGGTGACTTCCTGTCGCACCAGCTGGGACCCAGTGGCTGGGACTTCACCAGGTGCTTCAAGGTACCAGTGACTCTGTCTCCTTCACCAAATTCAATCCCTCCTCTTACTGGAAAGCAGAACCTCCGGACCAGCTTTTAGGAACGGGTCCGCAGACTAAGAGAACAGCAGAACCACGTCTGCTCCGCGTGAGTCTCAGAGCAGCCTGGCCGGGTCCGGACTCACCGCCTCCCGCTCCCC